AGGAGGTGTGAGTTGTGATAGTATCCCACATTCCTTAAGGTACTCTCCAAACTCCCAGTTTAAGTATTCACCCCCCCAGTCCTACCAAAAAGCTTGAATACTCTTACCAAGCTTGTTATGTACTTCATTCTTGAACTCTTTGAACTTGTTAAACGATTCAGATTTATGTCTCATCAAATAAACAAACCCATATCTACTATAATCATCAGTAAATGTGATGAAGTAAGAATATCCTCATCTTGCTTGAACTATCATTAGACCACATACATCACTATGGATGATGCCTAACAGTTCTATAGATCTTTCACTATACGAGTCATACCTTTTAGGCAAGATGACCAAGTCACCTTTCACTGTCGCCTTTCACTGTTGCCAGTGAAAGACGACTTGGTCATCTTGCCTAAAAGGTATGACTCGTATACCTCATAAGATTGAAAATCAAATGGTTCCAAGGTTGCGTCCCTATGGAGTTTTGCTATGCGAGTTTGATTAACATGACCTAGCCTACAATGCCAGATAAATGTTTGGTTCAGATCGCCACACTTGTCTCTCTCTTATTTTCAAGATTGAATATCCCTTTATCCATATCTAGAACATATAAACCATTATGTAATCTAGCATTTCCATAATGAATACCATTCAAACTAAAAGGCAACAATTCGTTAGATATATCAAAACGATAACCAAAATTGCCCAAAAAGAATACGGAAATAATATTCTTCGAAATTTAATATACATAATAACAATCCATAAGTTCTAAGATAAGGCCCAAAAGCAAAGATAACTAATACACACCTATAGTTAAAGCAACAACTCTAGCTCTATTCCCAAAGCATAGGTCTACCTCCCTCAGCCAAGCAATCTACTCTGTTGTAGTCCCTGCACATTAGTAAAAATGTGAGATGCATATCCAATGTCAATAACCCAAGATGTGTTAGGAGATAAGTTAATCTCAATCATGAACATACATTTACAAGACGAAACACCATTCTTCTTCTTACTTGCTAAGAAGGTCTTGCGGTGTTTCTTCCAATAGCCAAGCTTGCCACGGTAAAAGTAAACTACCTTTCCATCTTTGCTCACACCACCAGCAGGCTTCAAGACATCTTGAGACCTGGGCTTAGACTTGGGCTTGGACTTAGACTTTCCGTTGCCCTTTCCCTTGGCTCTTCCATGGGCAGCATCAACTAGCATCACTGGCTTTGACTTCTTCATGTCTTGCTCTACTATCATCAGCATATTCAGGAGATTGGAGACGGTTTTCTCCATACCATTCATATTGAAGTTCAATATGAACTGTGAGAAGGTGTCAGGCAGGGACTGCAGAATGAGGTCCACTGATAATTTTGCATCCATGACAAATCCCAAAGTTTCAAGCTTCTGTATGTACACATTCCATGACAAATCTAAGAGTTCATTCCTAACTTGGAGCAATTAGCATCGATTAAAAGAGCCTCCAAATGCTGGTATGAAATCTGATATCTATTGTTTAATATTTGTTTCATATGCAAACAACGTAAAACAGGTAGTAGGCGGTTACCATGTGCAAATCACACAACAATTCAATTTAGGTAGGCCATCAACTCAATTTAAACTAGCTAATGGCACCAACCATTAATCCTCAAATATAAATTAGGCAGACAAACCAATTACACAATTCAATGGCATCGACCATTGACCTCAAGTGCAACTCTTGCATCCATAGGGTAGATACTACATATCATCCTATGCATTATAAAACTACACTAGTCTACATGTGCCTCTAGTACGTTTTCAACCTTCGTTAATCGAAAAAGCCAAACTACTAGTTAAGTCTTCCCCAACACCATTAAGGAAAACTCGCATGTGACTTAGCCTCCCACTAATAACGCATACCCTTCGTTGATCGAAAAGGTTACGACAATCTATGGTTTGACTAGGCCCGTGGTGTTGGAAGGCATTTATCATAGACTTAATATCCTTTTAGTGAGTATTTTTCTTTTGCTTTTGGTCTCATCATTTTATTATCTTTATTAATATGTTATATCCATAACATTCACCCTTAGCATGCCAACTATTAGGATAGGTGCACTAGAGCCAATAATTTTTGAACATTTGTAATAATATTATTGAATTTCAATGAAGGCATTACTTCTATATCATAGCATTCATTTATATACTTGTATATATATTGATATATGTCCTTAAAAGGGTTGAACCATGAAGAGGGAATTAAGTGCTTTAAATCTTAATTGTGAGAACCCTATGATCACATATGGTGGCCATTCTAGAACTATCTGTATCCCTAGTATTAATCTGACAAAGGACACAAATTATATGATAAGGCTATCATAGCGTTAAACAACCCTACCAAAAGGTAGTGACAGTTCTCACATGCCAAGGTTGTTAAGTGACAACCTGGTACGATGCATATGTGCTTGTTAATGGCAAGTTTATTTAACCGACCCATCAGAGGAGTCCACACAAGATGGTAACACCAGTGTCTGTGGAATATATCCTACAACAGATAGTGGTGCATGTGGTCCCTCGACTTGAGATCACCAAAGCACCGTGTGTAATTATTGATATAATTTGACACTAGCCTAACGTAATCCTATTTAGGGTTATTAGTATGATAGTCGTTGGTTACATCAAGAAGTACACTATTGCTATGGTGGATCAACAAAGGATTTATCACTCTTGGTTATCGGAGAAATTATCTCCCTGAGATATTTGGTAAGGAACCATAATCGCAAAATATGTGGCCACAGTGAAATCGAGTCAGCACTCAAATCTAATTTATATGGTCGTTGATTCGACAACCGAATATAAACATATCAAGGTACATTCATTGAAGTTAACACTACTTCTGTACTTCAAACCTTGATGAGATTAATAATGATGAAAGGATTTGAATTGCACAGTAACCATATTGTTGAAAGGTAGCTACTTCGCTGAATCTTTATTTGTTGGATAATCATGATGCCTTGTTAGAGGTCAATCTTGATTGGTGTACGGAACACTAATTAGTTGATGCTTAATTATAAATCTGGTCACTACCAACATAATATAGAGTCTATGGGTCATACATATTAAAGGCAGTTTTATTGAGAAAGAAGTTTTGGGAATTACAAGGTGGAGTTTTGAACCTTTTGCCGAGCCATAAAACGGAGCAAGTTCTACTAATTTGAATTGTTTAGTTTGTTTACAAATAGGATAGGGACTAAACTACAAATTTTGCAAGTTTAGGGACCAAAGTGAAATTCTACTAAATTAAAAGGGGCAAACTAATTTACATGGTAAATTTAAATTTGACTTTTAATTGATATTCCATGTTTGATTGATGTCTAAATATGCATGGTGTTTGGTACTTTGCCACCGACCTTAGGTTTATTATTTTTTATGGGATGAATGCTTGTAATTTTTAAAATTATTAAATAGGGCCTAAGTGTCCTGCCTATCTCTTTACTCTCAATGTATTCTCTTCTCATCTAAATCCTCTCAAATATAACTCGAGGTTTCTTATTATTCAATGTAATTTAGAATAGGGTTATATCATTACTGTAAAGAAGATGGAGCGAAGGTGTGAAACGAGTTCCAAAGACTTCAATGAAGTTTTGTAATAAATTGCATGAACCTAGGTTGACCTACCAATTCCTCAAAACTCGGGGTATTTAGTTTTAGATTGGCCATGTGCTGACCCATTTATTTTTATCTTAGAAAGCATGCTAAGGTTGAATGTTTTAATATGCCGGACTATAACATGCTAAAAAAATAATAAAATTGGTGAGACAATAAAATCAATAACCCTCGATTAAGATATTAAGTCACAAATAACAGTACGCCTTCCATCACTATGGGATTAATCAAACCACTATTCTTCGTGGCCTTGTTCGCCTCCGTGAAAGGACACTTCTACCAATGGAAGGTTAATTATTCACTGGAACTTTTCCTTAATAGTGATGGGTTCAACTTAACTAGGTGTATTTTGCTTGTTCGCCTCCACGAAGGTTGATAAATACACTAGAGGCATAGTAGAGTAGTACACTTAAAGATGCATAAGAGGGCATGTAGTGTCCAACTCACTGATCCGAAAGTTACACTTGAGGACAATGGTTGATGTCGTTGGATTGTGTAATCGGTTTGTTGACTTGATTTACTTTTGAGTTTAAAAGTTGGTGCTACTTGATGGTGTAGATTAAAGTTTGTTGACCTACCTAATCATCCTATTTTAATTTGTTCTCCCCTGTGAAGGTTGAAATATAAATGATGGGATTTCGGCCCACTAGGAAGATTAACAGGGCCTTCCTGAGTTTAATTGTGAGAGCTATTGGGCTTGAGTAAAGTAGTGGGAGCAATTGATTAATAAAATGCCTTATTAATTAATATAGTATTAATTCTATTTAAATTTTGCATTTGTAGATTCACTTTCATTATGACTTCATGTACCCTATTGTAGGGATTTCTACTATAACAAGCACAAAATTACCAAAAAAAAAAAAAAAAATTGCTACGAGAGAGTCTTGTTACCCAAGATCACGATCCAATAACTATAACCACAATATAATTAAACCATACAAGGTTAGGCATTATACCTTCATTGGCAGCTCCTTCGGATGTCTTCGAGATATCGCTATCGACCCAAAGTAGGATCAAGCTCGACAGTATCCACACAAAAGTAGGTCGGGATCACTCTTGGATTGATTGCTAGATCAAGCCAAGAGCATAAGAGGAGTGGCGAATTTGAGAGAGAAATTCTCTCTAGGGTTCACTACAAGGAAAAAGGCATTTCTTGATAGAAAATTTGACAGAATTTCTTGACTGTTTTTAAAAATAGTCAAGTCTTTTCCTTGACAACTTCTTGACCGTTTTTCAACTATCAAGGATTTTATAAAAATTAAGTTGTTCAATTTCATTCTTTGACTGTTATATGCTTAATTCTTGACAGTGTTTAACTATCCAGGATTAAGTTAAAGAAAAAAAAAAAAAAACAAAACAAAACTCTAATTTGGCCAAGGCTTCACACCCTAAAATTTTGCAAGGGCAATTTCTTTACGCCCAAACACCAGAGTTCGCTGTCAAAACCCATTTTCCCCCAAATTCCGACCAAGTCAAGAAAAAAACTTCGGCCAAAACCCAAATCTCCTCCACTAAATTAATCAGATCTCGTAAACCCTAAATCTCCTCCACTAAATCGCCCAAGTCTCTTCCACTAGATCGCACAAATCTCTTCCATCACTTGTTTCTTCAGTTCCCGGTAGCAGCAATAAACAATGAAGTCGTCACTTCGCCACCTCCGCCGCCACAAACCATCACCTGTAAGAATGTTGTTTTCTTCCTTGGATGAACATGTCTTCTGCGTTTGTTTTTATGTTAATAAACATTACAGTTATTCCATCATTATAGTTAAAGGGAGAATTTTGGGTTTTACTTTGGACGAAAAGATGCTTGGTTTTATTTTTTGTTTTATTTTTGGTTTTTTATGAGTGCTGAGGATTGTGGATAGAAGGAAAAACAATATTGGATTAGTTGTGTCTGAGGCGAATGAATCAAAAGCTAATCATTTTTACCTGGTCTAAGATTGATACTTGGAAATGAATTGTCATTGGTTTATCTATTCTACTGGGATTTGTGATCCATAAATATACTATTCTTGTAGAATGGTTTCTTTGTTATTAGTTTGAAAAGAAGTGTTTAAGTTGAGATAATTCTTTCGAAGTGTGCCTATGCTAGTTATTTTTCTTTTTTTTGGTTCTGTAGTTTAGACTTTTAGTATCCATACAAACTGTATTCCTCTGTATAAAAGTGGCAATGTTGGTGCTGACATAAATTATTTCTTCTTGAAGATGCATTGATGGGCATTAAGGATTTATTTCAAAAGCATCTAGGAGAGTTAAGGTTGCACAGATATGCCGCTATAGAAAAGTTGCGTGAATGTATCAGTGATGATGACAAAGTTCTCAGAGAAATGTTATATCAATTATTTAAGACTCTGATATTTCCTGGGTGCAAAGAGGAAACTCTTCACTTCAGTTTTTTGTTTGAACTCTCAAATATGGTCAAGTCGCTACTTAGTCACAATTAAATCCATGGTAATACTCATTGAGTTATGCTTCTGGACACCCAAATGGCACCATAATGTATCTTCTGCTTTCAAGGTTTATATTTTTTTACAACTCAGGTAGGCGTTATTATCTTTAAAAATTTTCTATTGAACAAGAATTTACACATAATTCAATGTGTTATTCTATGCAGCTGATAAACTTGAAAGCTTCTTAATGTAGTTTCCTGTTTTTCCAAATGCTTTTTTGGTTGGGAGTCCAGCTGGCTTCTTTGTTATTGAACTGACAAACCAGGTAGAGTTGATAAATTTTTTATTCAATGCATAGCCAAATATGGTTAGGGTTTGTCAGTCGGGACCCTTTTAATGGTCAAACCTTATTTAAGTTTTATCCCAACACCAGCTATTTGTGAGGAGTTGGTATATAATTGCTATGTTACATTCATATGGTGTTGCAACTCCGCTGTTTTTCAGCTTCAAAAGTTGAAGGTGGAGCCTGTCCTTTTGCATCACCTTTCACAGCTTAGAGTTCTCCAAGGTAAATTGTTTCAACTCCTTGTGAGGTTGAGATGTGAGATATTGTCTACTGATCGTAATCAGTTTCAACTGCATTTAATATGTTATGACTTATGCAGGGGTGGAACTTAGGATGGCCACAAGTACAAGGTTAAAGACATGTTTGTATAGCTTCACTTCTCCTGGTGGTCCTATGTATCCAACAAGAGCTGTTCGTCATGCAACCTGGGATGCTTTGGACTTTCTCTTCCCTGTGAGTGTATTCTGTTTATTGTCCATCGCATGTATATGTACCATGTTACACTTTCTATGTGATTGCAATTCTTTACATTACAGTTATTCCAAGCATCTTTAATTGTGTACTATCTTGATCCCTTGAGGGGAGATATTGGGCAAGATTTACAGGAAGTAGTGCAAAAGTTAATAATTCTACTTACTGTCATTTTTAATGCTCTATATAATATCAAATAATGTATGTTAATTTCAGAAGTTGTTTTAACTTTCATAGTAGTATCTTAATCCCTTCTGCCCGTAAGATTTCCAAAAAAAGGGATAATATCTCATGGCAAAAAGTATTGGTGCCAATTAATTTTCAGTTTTAATATTGTTTTACCTTTTGGATATTAATGGTTATTCCGAATTAATTTTGTGTAGGGACTCATTCAACTGGGAAGCATTGAATGTGGGTTTTATATAATGAGATACATGAGATATAGTTGAGAATGGGTTGACATTACTAAAAAACAATGTAAATTTTTTTTTTTCTCACAGTTGTGAATAATAAGATATAGTTTATATTTGTTGGTTAGTCTTTTTGTGTTTACTTTTATAGTTCATGGGGAAAGAAATATACGAAGATGCGGAGGTCGATGAGGTCAAAGGAGAATGGGTGGTGTATGTATCAAACTTTTTTTAGTTATTATTGTTTCAGTGATGTCAGGGGCCAATGAGGGCAAAAACTATGTATATATGTATCAAACTTTTCATTACTGAATTGATTACTTTTCATTGTTGTTTATGCAATATTGTAAAAACTAAAAACTATACTGTTGCCCAATTTTGTTTACTTAGAGCAACAGTAATATATGTATCATTCAATTAATTGTTCAATGTCTCATTACATATTTTTGAATGGTGATAATTGTTGGAAGAATAAATATTATGAAGCATTTCATTTGACTATTCTATAATTTAATTCGTAATAATAAAAAAAAAATTACAAATAAAAAAAAATTAACAAAAGAATCCTTGACAGTTTTCGGATTTGGTTAAAATTCTATCAAATCCTTGACAGTCTGTCAAAGGGTCCTTGATAGGGGTTACAATGATAGTTCAAAAATTGTCATTGTACCCCCTTCTTGATAGGTATTACTTGTTAAGAAAGCCATTTTTCCTTGTGGTTGCAGCCAGGGTTTTGTGTTTGGGAGGTTTAGTTTAAATTAAACTAGAACTTTGCTCTCAAAAGTTGTAAAATCAACTTATCAAAAATCAAAACTCAAGTTCCCTTTTTATAGTCCAATCCATAGTAGGAATTTAATTAGGATTGTGAATCTCCAAATTCCTTTTTAATTTGGATTGCAACTTTAAAAGGATTTGGAATATCTCTAAAAGGTATTCTCTTAATAAATATGTTTCCCAATTAAATAAATATTCATATTTATTTAATTTCTATATAAATACATATTGCTAATTAAATAAATATCGCTATTTATTTAATCATATATATTTATATATACATATTTAATTAATGGGTTTTAATATATTTAATAAATTAAATATATTCCTCCATATTAATTAATATTAGTATGATTCCAGTTTTGCTAAAATTCCTTCAAAATAAATTGAATATTGGTGTCAACCCTAGCAAAATTACCAAAATAACCTTTTTGCCCAAAAGGACCAAAATACCCTTTTCCTCCCAAATTACTGAAATACCCTTTCTGCCCAAAGGACGAAAATGCCCTTTAATCCGTTTTCTCTCTTAACTACTTTTTATGTTTGTGACGCGAAGGCTCTTTATTTTGTTGGCAGTGTCCCAATAATTAATTAAGCATCAACCAATTAGTGTTTCGTACACAAATCATGATTGACCTCTAGCAAGACATCATGATTACCCAACACATAAAGAATCAATGATTAGGCTTACCTTTTCTATTGTATGGTTACCATGTAATTCGATCCATTCATGATCTTATATCTCATCAAGGTTTGAAGTACAAAAATAGTGTCTACTTCAAAGTATTAACCTTGACATGTTTATATTTTGTTGTCGAATCTACAACTATATAAAATCATATTCGAGCATCAACTCGATTCCATTGTGGCCACAAATTTGCAGTCGTAGTTCTTAACCAAATATCTCATCGTGATAAGATCTCTTATAACCAGGAGTGATAAATCCTTTGTTGATCCACCATAGCCATAGTGTACTCGATGTAACCAATCACCACCGTTCTGGTAATCCCTAAGAGAAATAACGTTAGGCTAGTGTCAAATCACATCGATATTTACACATGGTGCTTTGGTGATCTCAAGTCAAAGGACCACATGCATCACCACCCATAAGATGATATATTTCATAGACATTAGGTTTACTATCTTGTATGAAATCCTTTGATGGATCAACCTAGTGGACTTGCACAAGCAAGCACCTATGCGTTGCACTAGGTTGATGCCTACAACCTTGACATGCGAGACGTGTCACTACCTTTCAATAGAGTCATTCAACGCAATGATAGTCTTTCCGTATAATCTATGTCCTAGGTCAAATTTATACTATGACTACGGATAGTTTTAAAATGGCCACCATATGTGCTCATAGGGTTCTCACAGTTAAGATTTATAACACTTAATTCCCTCATCACAGGTTTCAACCTTTCTAAGAACATATACTATTTTCTTTATATGCAATAAATAGATGTTAAAGTATAGATACTTGTAAATAAGCAATGCCTTTATTCATTATAAATAATGTTTACAAGAGACAATTTATTGGCTCTAGTACACTACTCTAGCACCTATCACTGTGATCAATCATCAATAAGAAATGTAGGTCAATGCTACGAACTTCACTAATTTGTATTGAAATTTAAGGATTCTATTAAAGTAAAAAAAAAAAGAAGTTGTACATCATCAATGAACCTATTATGGAAGCGCCTGAACCTGAGGCTACTTAGGAAGCAAGAGATTCTTATCAAAAGTATATGGATGATACCAGCATTGTTCAATGTATCATAATGGCATCATTGACACCTGATCTGCGAGAGCAACATGAGAATTTGGATGCTAGTTCTATCATCACAAATCTCAAGGAACTCTTCTAGAGGCATGCAAAACATGAGTGATACGAGGTGTCAAATGCATTGTATAGATGTCGAATGATTGGGGGAGCCCCAATTGGCCCACATGTAGTCAAGATGATTGGCTACATTCAAAGGACTTGAGACTTTGGGATTCATCATGGATGCAGAACTGCCTATGGATCTTAATCTACAATCCTTGCCTAGTTCATTCTCCCAATTCATATTAAACTTTAATATGAATTCTATGGAGGAGACTATCTCAAAGCTGCTAAGTATGCTGAAGACGATAGAAAAAGACATGAAGAAATCCAAACTAGTGCAACTTGTTGCTATTGCACATGGAAAGGGAAAGGGAAAGGGTAAGCAAGGCAAAGGAAAGGCCAAGGTCAATCCTAAGTCCAAGTCTAAGACCCAAGATGTCCTCAAGCCTACTGGAGGCGTGAGCAAGGATGGAAATGTTGTTTGCTTCCATTGTGGCAAGCCTGGCCACTGGAGGAAACATTGCAAGGCCTTCTTAGCAAGAAAGAAAAAGAATTCTGCATCTTCTTCCAAAGGTATGTGTATGATTGAAATTATTTTTTCTCCTATTACATCTTGGGTCATTGACACTAGATGTGGATCTCATATTTGCACTTTTGTGCAAGGGCTGCGGTAGAGTAAATCGCTTGGTCGAGGAGAAGTGGACCTACGAGTTGAAAATGGAGCGCGAGTTGCTACATTAGTAGTAGGGATTTTTTTATTTATCTTTGCCTTCGGGGTTTATATTAGAACTATCAGATTGTTATTATGTTCCTTTAGTTTCTAAGAACATTATTTTTGTGTTCGCTTTGGACAATGTTAGATATCAGTTTCTGATAACTAATAGGTCATTATCTTTTAGTTTGGATGGTATTCAATATGAAACTGCTAGATTACATAATGGTCTATATATTATATATTTAAATAATAATGAAATATTCAATCTTGAAAATAAGAAAGCCAAGAATGATGGCTTTAATCAAATGTATCTATGACATTGTAGGTTGGGTCATGTGAACCAGACTCGCATTGCGAAACTCCATAAAGAAGGAGTTTTGGACCCATTTAACTTTTAGTCTTATGAGGTGTGCAAGTCGTGCCTATTAGGCAAAATGACCAAGTCACCTTTTACTGGACACAGTGAAAGGGTAGTGGAGCTGTTAGGCATCATCCATAGTGATGTATGTGGATCACTAATAGTACAAGCCAAAGGTGGATATCCTTACTTCATCACTTTTATTAATGACTTCAGTAGATTTGGTTATGTCTATTTAATGAGACATAAATTTGAATCCTTTGACAAGTTCAAAGTGTTAGAATAGGTGCCTTAGAGCCAATCCATTATTATAATATTGACTCTTTGTAAGAATGTTTATAATCAATAAAAGGTTTTTTTCTACATTATGTAATTCATATTCATTGTATGTTATGATGGATGTCCTTAGAATGGTAGAACTGTGACGAGGGTATCAAGTGTTTTAAATCTCGATAATGAGGACTTTATGATCACATATGGTGGCCATTCTAGAAATGTCCGTAGCCTCAGTATTATTCTGCCTAAGGACACAGATAATACAATAAAGCTATCATAGTGTTGAATGACTCTACTGAAAGGTAGTGACTGATCTCACTTGTCAAAGTTTTTTGCCGACAACCTGGTGCAATACATTTGTGCTTGCCATAGGCGAGTTCACTGGACAGACCCACCAAAGGATTCCACATAGATGTTAACCCTAGTGTCTATGGAATAAATCCTCTAACGGATGGTGGTGCATGTGATCCTTAGATTTGAGATCATCGGAGTGACTTGTGCACTAATTGGTGTAGTTTGACACTAGCCCAACGTAGTTTTATTTAGTACTATCCGAACGGTAGTGATTGGCTACATCGAGAAGTGTATCAAGACTATGGTGGATTGAAAAATGATTCATCACTCCCAGGTACAGGAGAAATTATCTCACTGAGCAATTAGGTAAATGGCAATGACACTAAATATGTGGCCATAATGAGATTGAGTTGTAGCTTAATCCATTATATTCTGGTCATTGGTCTAGTATGTTAGAGTAGGTGCCCTAGAGCCAATCAATTATTGTAAAATTGATTATGTAATAAATGTTTATTTATCAATAAAAGACATATTCTTCTATATCGTGTATGTAATGATATATATCCTTAGGATGGTAGAACCGTGATGAGGGTATCAAGTGTTTCAAATATTGATAGTGAGAACCCTATGATCACATATGGTGGTTGTTGCGTTGTAACTACAACATGCAATATAGCAAGTGCACTAGTCGCAATAAGTAATAAAGTGATAAGAAAAGTATCGTTCCCACGAGGATTGGTTGTTAAGCACTGATTTTCCTAATTGTTATCAAGTTGGAGAAATTGAAAAGTGTTGGATTTACGGGAGAAACTTAAAATTAAACTAAAAGCAAAATTTACTAAGTATTAAAAAGCTAATTAATGAAAGCAAGATTAAAGTAAGAGTAATATCAATTTAAGCAAACGGGTAGGGTTTTGACTTCATTAGGACTCTATGGATTAATTCTACGAATTATGCTACTTCTACACTTACATACACGGATTGTAAATCAAATTCCCTCAATTGTAAAACATACCTTCTCATGCTATGAATTCCTACTTTTCCCTATTAAGCTTCTGTACCCAACAAAATGAAGATTAATAGATCCAAGTTCATTAAGCTAATGGAATCCTAGATTGATTTCATTGATTCTCAAACCTATCTCTAGCGTTCAATACAACAATGGTGATTACCCAAGAACCCCA